AACAGTGGATTTTTCATTAAATAAACTGTAGTAACACAATTCTTTCCCCCAGAGGGCAGATCCAAATAGGCTTCATAGGAAATGCCAACACTAAGTGGGCGGTTAAAACTCTGTCGTACTTGTAGGCACAAACCTGACTCAGGAAAGGCCGGGACGGCCCTGCTCCAGGGAATGAGCGGAGCAGAACGGCCCTCCGGGCCTTCCATTCACGTGGGCAGCGAGGAGGGCCAGGAACCGTTCCCCTCTCTCAGGGCTCTGGGCCGCCGTGTGGACCAGGCGCTGCAAGGACAGCAGCAGTGCGGTCTGCAAGGACAGCAGCAGTGCGGAGACATGGCCCAGGGCGGGCTGCTCGGTATTGCTGCCTCTTGCTTCCCGCCTGCCTGCAGTCCTCAGGGTAGGTCAAGGCCAAAGGCTTCTGTGCAGGAAGTGAGGGTCCCCTGCTGAGCTCGGCGGCTGGGTGGAAGGAGGGGGAGCTGCTTTAGCACTTGAGCAGCTGAGTACAGGTGGAACCTGGGCCTTCCCGCGGCGGTCCTCAGTGAGGTCGTCAGTGAGAGCGCTGCGGGAGCAGCCCGGACAGGTGTGTCTGCAGTTCCACCTCCCCCGCCCCTCACCCCTCGGCTGGGCACAGCTGCTGCTCAGCTCTCCCATGCCTCACCTTTCCTGTCCTCTATTGATCTGGTGCTCAAACTCCAGCCCCTTCTGACAAGAAGTATAACGATTTTGGAGGCGTTGCCTGTCTGAATATGTTTTTAAAAAATATATTAGCCCTAGCTGGTTTGGAGCAGTGGATAGAGCATCAGCCTGGACAGAAGGGTTCCAGGTTCGATTCCAGTCAAGGGCACGCACCTTGGTTGCAGACTCCTCCTCAGCTCAGGCCCTGGTCGGGACTCGTGCTGGAGGCAACCAATCCATGTGTTTCTCATTGGTGTTTCTCTGTTTTTCCGTCTTTCTTCCACTCTCTAAAATCAATGGGAAAATATCCTCAGGCCCTGGCCAGTTTGGTGCAGTCGGCCTGTGGACTAAGGGTTTCTGGTCAAGGGCATGTGCCCAGGTTGTGGGCTTGATATCCAGGAGGCAGCCAATCAGTGATTCTCTCTCATCATTGAAGTTTCTGACTCCCTCTCTTTCCCTCTTCCTCTCTGAAATCAATAAAAATGTGTTTTAAAAAAGAAAGAAAAATATCGGGCAAGGATCAACAACAACAAAAAAGCTCTCTGAAAAGGACTCAGATTTTCTCTCAGAGAGAGTTGCTTCTATTAGGGATAGGAAAATACCTAACGTGTAAGGAGGTTTGTGGGTCAGACTAGTGACCAGAGCTCAGTTCTAAAGTGTTGGCTTTTTGGGCCTGGCTGGTGGCTCCGGTGGCTCCTCCCAGTGAGGGTCCAGGGCGGTTCCCTCTCCCAGCCGCTCCCTGGACAGCTCTCAGGCCCAGGGCAGCCACTGCTCCGATGGCCGGACCACTGACTCGTTTGCTCCTGGGCTCCATCTAAATGGAACCCCACAGCCTGTGCTCCTGTGCCGGCGTTCTTTCCCGACGCCGTGTTTCTGAGGTTTTCTCTGTTGGCTCTGAGTCAGCGCATTCTCTCGTTGCTCAGTAGGGTTCTGTTGTGTGACTTGATAATAATTCTGTTGAGAAGCACTTAGGTTGTTTGAGTTTGGGGTGATATGAGTAAAACTGCTACAGACTTTCGTGCACAGACCTTTTTTGTGTGCAGGATGTGCTTTTACTTCCCTTGGTAACACCAGGACTGGAATTGCTGGGTTATTGGGAGGTTTATTTCTAACTTTATAGGAAACGGCCACCAGAAATGTGTGGGATTTCCAGTTCTACATTCTTGCTAACATTTAGCATCATTTTTTACATTGTAGCCACGCTAGTGAAGGTATAGTATTCCATTCATTTGTATTTACCTGATGATCAGTGATGTTAAATATCTTTTTATATGCTTTTGGTAATTGATTTTTTAAGTCTTTTGCCCATTTCAAGCCCTTTTTTTTTTTTTTCCTATTTAAGTAATGTTTTATTTTTCAATTACAGTTGGCTTATAATATACTACCCTGTTTCCCCGAAAATAAGACAGTGTCTTATATTAATTTTTGCTCCCAAAGATGCGCTAGGTCTTATTTTCAGGAGATGTCTTATTTTTCCATGAAGAAGAATACGGTACACATTTATTGTTAAATGAAAATAAAGGAAATTGCCGAAACCGGTTTGGCTCAGTGGTTAGAGCGTCAGTCTGCAGACTGAAAGGTCCCAGGTTCGATTCTGGTCAGGGGCATGTATTGTACATTGGTTGCAGGCACATCTCCGGTAGGGGGTGTGCAGGAGGCAGCTGGTCGATGTTTCTCTCTCATTGACGTTTCTAACTCTCTATCCCTCTCCGTTTCTCTCTGTGGAAAATCAATAAAATATATTAAAAAAAAGAAAGAAAGAAAGAAAGAAAGGAAGGAAGGAAGGAAGGAAGGAAGGAAGGAAGGAAGGAAGGAAGGAAGGAAAAAAAGAAAGAAAATTTATTACCTTTATACGGTACGGTAGTACGGTAGTTGTCAACACAACCCAGACAAACTCTGAATCCTACAGTATCAAGAATTTACTCATTTATTCATCGACAATCATGTCATCATCTTCTGGACCATCATCATAACAATCCAATTCCTGAATTTCCTGGTGAGTTTCTTGTGACTCCATTTCTTTCAGAATCAGTGGACCAAATCTCTCATGTTTAGCAATAGCATTCTGAGACAGAGCCTAGGGGGGGCCTTATTTTTGAGGGGATGCCTTATATTTCACTCAGAAGGAAACCTATAAGTAGGTCTTATTTTCGGAGGATGTCTTATTTTTGGGGAAACACGGTAGAAGCCCAGTGCACAAAGATTTGTGCAAGAACAGGCCTTCCTTTCCCTGGCTGCCAGCACTGCCTTTCCACTCCGGTCCCCAGAGCCACTTCTCTCCGCTCCTGCCCCGCCTTCCCACACAACGCCCACCAGCCGCTTGGTGCCTGCATATGCAAATTAACCCACCATCTTTGTTGGGTTGATTTGCATGCTCACTCCTGATTGACTGGTGGGCATCATGAAGGTACAGTCAATTTGCATCTTTCTCTTTTATTATGTAGATTAGTTTCAGGTGTACACCCTAGTGATTAGATAGTATGTCACTTACTAAGTGATCATCCTGATAAATCTCACACCCATCTGCCATCCCACACACATTTATTGCAGTACTAGAGGCCTAGTGCAGGAAATTAGTGCACTCGGGTGGGAGGCGGGTCCCTCGGCCCAGCCTGAGCCCCCTCGCAGCTTGGGAGCCCTTGAGGGCAGTTGGGTATCCTTAGCGCTGCCACGGGCACTGGCACCTCTCGGTAGGAATTCCTTGAAGTACTGGGTTTTCTTCTTGGCTGTGGTAGATTTGTGGTAAAGTAAACTTGTTTCAAAGCTTTAAAAGAGGACATCTGTGTTAGACGTTTCACTTCTTAATGTGTTCCCTCTGTGGAGGCAGAAGAGGCTCCCACCACCGCTGCTGTGCTCACCAGCCATGCGCCCGGCTTCTGGCTGAGCAGCGCTCCCCCTGTGGGAATACACTGACCACCAGGGGCCAGCTCCTGCATTGAGCGTCTGCCCCCTGGTGGTCAGTGTGCATCATAGCGACTGGTCGTTCTGCTGTTGGGCTGTAACCAGCTCTCCGACATCCCCTGAGGGGTCCTGGGTTGCAAGAGGGTCCAGGCCAGGCCAAGGGACCCACTGGTGCATGATCGAAGCTGAGGAGGGATATGAGAGGTTGACCAGCTGGGGAGGGACTACAGGAGGGCCCCAGGGCATGTCCAGTCCTTCTCGCTCAGTCCCAATTGGCTGGACCCCAGCAGGAAACTAACCTTTAAGTCAGTGCACATCATAGCAACTGGTTGACTCTCTGCCCCCTGGTGGTCAGTGCATGTCATAGCAACTGGTTAATTGGTCGACTGACCCCTGATGGTCAGTGCACATCATAGTGAAAGGTTGAGTGGCCTTAGCATATCATTAGCATATTATACTTTGATTGAACAGACAACTGGACACTTAACATATTAGGCTTTTATTATATAGGATTAGTGACTCTATTTTCTGTGCTGTACTTTACACCCATAACTATTCTGTACCAACCAATTTCTACTTCATCATCTCTTCACCTTTTTTTTCTATTTATTTATTTATTCATTTTTTATTTTTAAAATATATTTTATGGATTTTTCACATAGAGGAAGGGAGAGAGATAGAGAGTTAGAAACATCGACCAGCTTCCCCCTGCACACCCCCTACCAGGAATGTGCCTGCAACCAATGTAAAATACATGCCGTTGACCAGAATCGAACCTGGGACCCTTCAGTCCACAGGCCGACACTCCACCCACTGAGCCACACCGGTTTTGGCCCCTTCGACTTTCTTTTCCCCCACCTAGCACCCCACCCATCTGGCAACTGGCAAATATCCTCTGTATCCACAAGCCTGCTTCTGTTCTGCTTGTTTTAGTTTTTCAGATTCAGTTGTTGATGGGGTAGTCTTTATTGCCATTTTATTGTTCATATTCTTCACCTTTTTCTTTTGTTCTCCTTAAAGAAGACCCTTTAACATTTCCTGTGCTACTGGTCTGGTGGTGATGAACTCTTGCTTTTATGGGAGGCTCACTTTCTGTCCTTCCATTCTAAGCGATAGCTTTGCTGGGTGGAGTGATCTTGGTTGTCAGTCCTTGCTCTTTTGTCACTTGGAATGGAGAGGTGGCACAGTTTGCAGACGTGTTGTAAAGCCACATGCTCGTTCAGCAAGTCGTGAGCCCCCGTGTCCTAGCACAGTCCTCGCGGGCACTGGTACCTCTCGGTAGGAATTCCTTGAAGTACTGGGTTTTCTTCTTGGCTGTGGTAGATTTGTGGTAAAGTAAACTTGTTTCAAAGCTTTAAAAGAGGACATCTGTGTTAGACGTTTCACTTCTTAACGTGTTCCCTCTGTGGTTGTCTCTTTGTTTGCAGGTACGGCACTTAGAGGGGGTACAGCTCAGTGGTAGAGCATTTGACTGCAGATACGGCACTTAATGACCAGCCTGGGCCGCTGGGGTGGCGATGGCGGGCTTCCTGGATAACGTCCGCTGGCCGGAGTGTGAGTGCGTGGACTGGAGCGAGCGGAGGAACGCCGTGGCCTCGGTGGTAGCCGGCGTGCTGGTAAGGGAAAGCCCCTTTTCGCCCCGAGCGTTCACGCCGATCCCTCGGAGCTGTGCCTACCCATTCAGAGCTGTGTGTCACTGCGGTGAGTGTGAATAGTGGTCACAGCCTGGATGCTGTTCCCGAACAGAGTGTGGAGAGCCCTGGGTCATCTGACTGTAAACTTGCTAAACATAAAGTCATCTCCTCCGTTTGGTCGGTGATACAGTTGTTGCAGGCAGAGGCATTTTCAAGTTGCTGTGTAACTCCTCCAGGGGCCTCAGAGGCTCGGGATTGGATGCGGCCATGTCACTGCTGTAGGCGTTGGCGGTCGGCTGTGTGCCCCGATGAAGCCTCGGCTCGGGAGCGGAAGCTGCAGGCCCCAGGGAGCCCAGCCCTTCCGGCTGCGGTGCTGGAGGAGAGGAGCCAGAGAGCTCAGCTTCCGTTTCTTCCCAGCGCTTCTGGCTTTCTGCTCTGAGAATGTCAGGCATGTCAACAAAAATAGAGAGACTGCTGTAAAGCTCCTCGCCCATCTTACTCCACTTACTTACCATCCAGCCTCAAAAAAAAAAAAAAAATCATGACCAATTTTTCCTTAGCATTCCATCAATCTTTTTTTTTTTTAAATATACTTTATTGATTTCTTACAGAGAGGAAGAGAGAGGGACAGAGAGCTAGAAATATCGATGAGAGAGAATCATCGATCAGCTGCCTCCTGCACACCTCCTATTGGGGATGTGCCTATAACCAAGGCACATGCCCCCAACCGGAATCAAACCCGGGACCCTTCAGTCCACAGGCCGACGTTCTATCCACTGAGCCAAACCGGTTTCGGCCATTTTTTTTTTTTTAAGTCAGTTTCTATTACATTTAAACATTCATCTCTTTGAGTATATAGCTCTATGCCTGAAGTCCAATAGAAAAAAATCACAGCAGGAACTGAAGGTAATTGTGAAGCAGTCTGCACCCACAATTCTTTCATGTGTTTCTTAGTCTTTCCTGCTTTTCATGGTCATCTCGTCTGCAGATAATTTGTCTATGAAATTCATTAGCAACGTGTCTAATTTAAGTCCATTCAGCCTAGTTCATATAGAAGCATTGTTCTTGACAAACTTATGTTCAAACAGGATTTAATCAGATTGCTTAACTAGTTCTGTGGTGGTTAAATCGTTTTGTGCACATGACGGCTGAGAGCTCGCTGGTGGAAGCAGAGTGTGGGCAGTTTAAGCCAGGACTGCTCAGAGCAGGTGAGGCACTGTCATCAGGAGGGGTTGGTGGGAGTTAGTCAGAGCTTTGGTGGCGCATAATGGCAGTGGGTGAAAGGGTTAGAGCCGCGGTCGGCAAACCGCTGCTCACCAGCCACAGGCGACCCTTTCGCCCTTGAGTGTGGCTCTTCCACAAAACACCACGGCCTGAGCGAAATTATGTTGAAGAAGTGGCGTTAGAAGGAGTTTAAGTTTATTTTTATTATTATTATTTTTTAATTATTTTATTGATTTTTTACAGAGAGGAGGAGAGAGGGATAGAGAGCTAGAAACGTCGATGAGAGAGAAACATCAACCAGCTGCCTCCTGCACACTCCCCACCGGGGATGTGCTCGCAACCAATGTACATGCCCTTGACCGGAATCGAACCTGGGACCTTTCAGTCCACAGGCTGACGCTCTACCACTGAGCCAAACCGGCTTCGGCAGAAGGAGTTTAAGTTTAAAAAATTTGGTTCTCCAAAGAAATTCCAATCGTCCTGTTGCTATTTGGCTATGTTGACTAATGAGTTTGCCGACCACTGGGTTAGACAATTCATGCCAAATGATAACTTTTCATCGTGCACTGAGAGCAGAACTTGAGGATCTCACACTGATTTCATCAGCAGCACACTCACAGGAATAAATAAACAAGGATTCTTATTTTTTATTTTTCAACATCCAAAATTTGAAGCAGAGAGACGTCCTGTGCCGGTGACGGTGGGCAGGGAAGGGGGCAGGGGCAGCAGTGAGCCCCAGTGACCCGGCTCTGTCTCCAGTTCTCCGCAGGCTGGTGGGTGATGATCGACGCGGCCGTGGTGTACGCGAAGCCCGAGCAGCTGAACCCCGCCTTCCACACCTGCGGGGTGTTCTCCACGCTGGCCTTCTTCATGTAAGCGGCCCGCAGCGCGGGCTGGCCTCCTGGACAGAGTTTGCCGGAGGCTTCGTGCCGTCTGCCATCTGAAATGACTTGTTCAATTGATGGATTCTTTTTTTGAGAATTTATATGAGAGTTTATATAAGTCCTTATCTAAAGGACTCATTTATAAGAACCTTAAATCAGGTGGGGCACCCTGAGTCATCGGGTAAATGGAAGCCAGGCAGAGAATCCACAAAATGGCCTCCCCTCATCTCTGGGGACCAGTCAGTAATCGTTGCATGTTGGGGGTGTTTGGGGGGCACCGTAGGAAGATAAGACTAGTAGATCCTTTGTGTGCTCAGGTATGAAGGTCACTCAGATGCTGACTTGACTTAGGAGTGTTTTCCTTCTGATGGTGTGTAAGCACCTGTGAGTGTCTAAGCACCGAGAAAGCTCATTTTGGGCTTTTGTCTCGTTTCAGGATAAACGCCGTGTCCAATGCCCAGGTGAGAGGCGACAGCTACGAGAGCGGCTGTTTGGGAAGAACAGGTAAAGGCGAGAGGCCTTCCCTGGACAGAGCGAAGCCTCTAGTGCGCCTGGGGTCCGGCCCGGCTAAGTCCTTAGAAAGTGGAGGTTACCGCCAGAGGTACTGTGTGTCATGTGACGGCGCATGGGTGCAGGTAAACGTTACCGCGCAGAGCCAGCGGGTGGGGGCCTGTTCCTACCTGCGCCGGCCAGTGCTGCTGCCTCGGACGCCGACAGGCAGAGTGAGGCAGTGGAGATGAGGCCAGGGCTCGCGCTTTCACGTCTGTTCTGACTGCCCGTATCCACCAGGCCCGCGGCAGCACTGCTTCCAGTGTGTGCTGTTTGTCTGTCTATAAAGCATTTTTCTGGAGTTGGAATTCTTTTGCATGGTCACCAGTAGCCTTTTTCTTTTGCTCAGGTTGTAACACATCTGCTAGGACCACGGGGGCTGTTTCTGTGGGATCCCCATGCTTTATGTAGAAGGCGGGGCTCGAAACTATTTTCCACCTCTAAGGACGAGGCAGGGTTGTGCGGTTATGATGGAAATTTGGAGGAGGGTGGGGTTTGAAAGGTGCTTACTAATGTTATAGAACACCTATGTGTGCCCGGGACTGGCTGAGTGCTACGTGTGTTACCGCATTTAATCGTCCCGGTGTTCCACTTTTCAGGCTGCTTAAATAACTTGTCCGAATTCACAAGCGAGTGAGTGGGATTTGAGCTCACCACCTAGCTCTAAGCCCGGCTGTTAGCCACCACACTGCTGTTTCAGTGGAGCACTTGGCTTCTTGGGCTGATGTGGTCATGTATATACGTGACCTGTGCACGGATTCGTGCACTAGTGGGGTCCCTTGGCCTGGCCTGTGGGGATCAGGCCAAAACCGGCTCTCCGACATCCCCAGAGAGGTCCCGGATTGCTAGAAGATGCAGGCGAGGCCAAGGGACCTTGCCAGTGCACGATTGGGGCCAGGAAGGGAGTGTGGGAGGGCTCTAGGCTGTGTCCAGTTCATCTCGACCAGTCCTGGTGGGCTGGACACCAGCAGCCAGCTAACCTACTGGTCAGAGCATCTGCCCCCTGGTGGTCAGTGCGTGTCATAGTGACTGGGTGAGCAGTCGGACACTTAGCATGTTAGGCTTTTATTATATAGGATATGGTCAGCCTGATTAAGTGTAATTTATAGAAAATTAAACTCACCAGTTTAAAGAGTACAGTTCAGTGAGTTTTGACAAATGTCTACAGTTGTGGGACTTGGCCACCATCATGATGTAGAGCTTTGCCATCTCTCAGGAAGTTCCCTCCCCCCACCTCCTGGCCACTCATTTATTTGACAGATGTTGCTGTGCGTTATGTGACTAGTAACTGTTTTCTGTGGGAAATTTCATTGCACCTCCCCTGGTTCTTTAGCTTGAAGGTAGGGCGTGCATTAGCCGGGGGTCTCTCTGCATCCAGAGTCCGGGCTTTTACCCTCTCTCAGTCATTGCGTTTTATCCCATGACCATTCCCTGCGCAGGGGAAGCTGCCATGTGGTGTCTGCATGTTTCTGTGTTGCATGTGGCAGGAGGGCCTGAGAAGTGGGGGCTGAGGGTGGGTAGGCTGAGTTACAGCAGGACTGCAGCGTCGGTCCTTACAGCTCTCCTTCCTTCGTGGCGATGGCTACCTGACACACCTTTGCTACTTCTACCAGAGCAGTTACTTTGGCAGTGGGCTAGTTTACAACTGGGTACATTTTCAGTTAGAGTTTAATTAATCAAGTTGGTCAAATAATTACAAAGCTTGCCTGGTTTAGTTCATCCAGCCGTTAGTTTCTCTAGCCAGGAGAAAGTAACGTTCCCTTTGAGTTTTCAAACACCTTCCTTAACTGTTGGAGCAGACGCATGTAAGCATGTGACGTGTGTGCCGCGCAGAGTGTGTGTGAGGTCCGCAGTGTCTCCGGTGTTAGGTTTCCCCGGGATGGAGTGCGGGGGACGAACTCACGCAGCTGTTCTTCACGCAGGTGCCCGCGTATGGCTCTTCATCGGCTTCATGCTGATGTTCGGGTCGCTCATCGCTTCCATGTGGATCCTCTTTGGCGCCTACGTCACCCAGAGTGAGTACGCATCCCTGTGAGCTCGCAGGCAGGCGCGGGGTCCTGATGCTCAGCTGAGCCTGCCCCCCCTGGAGGGAGCTTCGGTCAGTGCTCAGGCGCTTGTGGGGGGAGACTGCAGGAGCCGTGGCAGGAGCTGTGGAGGGCCGTGGGTGGCCTGGCAGGACACGCGCCACCGGCAAGACCGTGGCACAGAGGCAGGCAGCGCGAGGGGACAGCGGGGGCTGTGCTGACACACCGCTGCTCCCGAGTGTGTTCACTCAGAACACTGATGGCCGTGCGTGTATGCTCCCCGGGAGGAAGTGCTTCTGAAAGAGCTTTACTGAGACGTGGTTTCACGTCACGTGATTCGCCATCCAGCGTACAGCTCGGTGTGTGAGTACAGAGCTGTGCCCACCACCAGGTCCGCTGCAGGACTGGTCACCCCACAAAGCCTGACTCCCTAGCGGTCCCTGCCGCCACCCTCCCCTGCTCCCGGGTTCTCGTCCCAGCCTTACCAAGGGTTCAGCATTCTGGAGAGAGGGGCTGTGCTCGATTAAGAAGGGGTCCAAAGACGAAAGGTAGTTTTGAAAGGCATTGGAGGTCAGGGGAGCTTCAACTAAAGGAGCTAAAGATTCTCCTTGTCTTAGGACCCCTAGCTTTTTATTAACACAATTTGTGTAAGGCAAGGTGGACACATATGCTTCAAAGGGGAGGGTTCCGTACAGAAGCAGTGTCAGATTGGGGAATAGCCTACAGCTGTTCAGGTGTTTGGCCAGCAGGAGGCAATAACATGCCCCGAGCTGTCTGGCAGCGGAGGATTATCCTATTCAGGTTTGGGGGAAGTGCCTTTTAGCCGTTCCAGATGATCAGCCCTGCCTGCATGCTGGACTTGGCTCCCGGCACCCTGCTCCAGTGGTACCCTGCTCCCGCAGCTCTGCCTGTGGTGTAAGCTGGTCCTGAGGAAGCGTGCTCTCAGCTCTCATTCCCCTGTCCGCTCTCTGACCCCTGTCCCCTCTCATTCCCCTGTCCCCTCTCATTCCCCTGTCCCCTCTCTGACCCCTGTCCGCTCTCTGACCCCTGTCCGCTCTCTGACCCCTGTCCGCCCTCTGACCCCTGTCCGCCCTCTGACCCCTGTCCGCCCTCTGACCCCTGTCCCCTCTCTTACCCCTGTCCCCTCTCTGACCCCTGTCCGCTCTCTGACCCCTGTCCGCTCTCTGACCCCTGTCCCCTCTCATTCCCCTGTCCGCTCTCATTCCCCTGTCCGCTCTCTGACCCCTGTCCCCTCTCTGACCCCTGTCCGCTCTCTGACCCCTGTCCGCTCTCTGACCCCTGTCCCCTCTCATTCCCCTGTCCCCTCTCATTCCCCTGTCCGCTCTCTGACCCCTGTCCCCTCTCATTCCCCTGTCCGCTCTCTGACCCCTGTCCGCTCTCTGACCCCTGTCCCCTCTCATTCCCCTGTCCGCTCTCTGACCCCTGTCCGCTCTCTGACCCCTGTCCCCTCTCATTCCCCTGTCCGCTCTCATTCCCCTGTCCGCTCTCTGACCCCTGTCCCCTCTCATTCCCCTGTCCGCTCTCTGACCCCTGTCCGCTCTCTGACCCCTGTCCCCTCTCATTCCCCTGTCCGCTCTCTGACCCCTGTCCGCTCTCTGACCCCTGTCCCCTCTCATTCCCCTGTCCCCTCTCATTCCCCTGTCCCCTCTCATTCCCCTGTCCGCTCTCTGACCCCTGTCCGCTCTCATTCCCCTGTCCGCTCTCTGACCCCTGTCCGCTCTCATTCCCCTGTCCGCTCTCTGACCCCTGTCCGCTCTCTGACCCCTGTCCCCTCTCATTCCCCTGTCCGCTCTCTGACCCCTGTCCCCTCTCTGACCCCTGTCCGCTCTCTGACCCCTGTCCCCTCTCATTCCCCTGTCCCCTCTCTGACCCCTGTCCCCTCTCATTCCCCTGTCCGCTCTCTGACCCCTGTCCCCTCTCTGACCCCTGTCCGCTCTCTGACCCCTGTCCCCTCTCATTCCCCTGTCCCCTCTCTGACCCCTGTCCGCTCTCTGACCCCTGTCCGCTCTCTGACCCCTGTCCCCTCTCTGACCCCTGTCCCCTCTCATTCCCCTGTCCCCTCTCTGACCCCTGTCCGCTCTCTGACCCCTGTCCGCTCTCTGACCCCTGTCCCCTCTCTGACCCCTGTCCCCTCTCTGACCCCTGTCCCCTCTCATTCCCCTGTCCGCTCTCTGACCCCTGTCCGCTCTCTGACCCCTGTCCGCTCTCTGACCCCTGTCCGCTCTCTGACCCCTGTCCGCTCTCTGACCCCTGTCCCCTCTCATTCCCCTGTCCCCTCTCATTCCCCTGTCCGCTCTCTGACCCCTGTCCGCTCTCTGACCCCTGTCCCCTCTCATTCCCCTGTCCGCTCTCTGACCCCTGTCCGCTCTCTGACCCCTGTCCGCTCTCTGACCCCTGTCCCCTCTCATTCCCCTGTCCGCTCTCTGACCCCTGTCCCCTCTCATTCCCCTGTCCCCTCTCATTCCCCTGTCCCCTCTCATTCCCCTGTCCGCTCTCTGACCCCTGTCCCCTCTCTGACCCCTGTCCGCTCTCTGACCCCTGTCCGCTCTCTGACCCCTGTCCCCTCTCTGACCCCTGTCCCCTCTCATTCCCCTGTCCGCTCTCTGACCCCTGTCCGCTCTCTGACCCCTGTCCGCTCTCTGACCCCTGTCCCCTCTCTGACCCCTGTCCGCTCTCTGACCCCTGTCCGCTCTCTGACCCCTGTCCGCTCTCTGACCCCTGTCCCCTCTCTGACCCCTGTCCGCTCTCTGACCCCTGTCCGCTCTCTGACCCCTGTCCCCTCTCTGACCCCTGTCCGCTCTCTGACCCCTGTCCGCTCTCTGACCCCTGTCCCCTCTCATTCCCCTGTCCGCTCTCTGACCCCTGTCCGCTCTCTGACCCCTGTCCCCTCTCTGACCCCTGTCCACTCTCTGACCCCTGTCCCCTCTCGTTCCCCTGTCGGCTCTCTGACCCCTGACTTGTGGGCTAGGCCCGGCTTCCATGGAGAGCCTGCGTGGCTACTTGAAGGAGCGCGTGAATAGCCGGTGTCTATTAGGAAGCGGCGTGTGGGAGGTCCGGGCAGTGTGGGCTGCACTCGCCTGCGTCTTAATCGCTGAAGAGCCGGCACGTGGGCCCGGCCTCGCCCGTGTTCCTCGCGTTGCATTCAATGCGCTTTGCTCTCCTTCCTCTGTAAACGGGATGCGCTGGCACCTCGGAGCCCTTCTCTCCGACCCGTTCCCGTCTGTCACTGCAGGCGTCGCACTGTCATCACTGTCATCGCAGCAGCACGCAGCCCGAGGCCGGCCTGCGCTTCCCACTGCGTAGCCACCTCCCTCGCCCCGGGCTGCGCTGCCCCATGCCCATTCCCCACAGGGGAAGCCAAGGCATGAGGCTGGAACCATCCGGCGTCACGCGCTCAGTGGCAGAGCTGGGATGCCACCCAGGGCTGGCTCAGCCCTGGCGCTCAGCCTGCCGCTGCGGTCTCGCTGAGGCCGGAGGCCCACGCGGACGTGCCTGCGGGTGTTTCTCTCGGCACCGTGCTCGCGGACCAGCTGTCCCCGGGATGGGGGCCGTTCCGCTTCCCTGCCCCTCGTGGGGAGGGACTGTGCTCCGGGAGACCCGGTGGGAGGGCGCGGTGGGGATTACGATGGCCCCTTCTCCCTGCCGCACCTGCACGCAGACCCAGAATCGAGAGCTAAACAGGGTCAGACCTCGTCACCAGGAACTCCGTGTGTCTCTGTGTCTCCCGGGATGGAGAGGGCGTCCGGAGGGAGGGCAGGCCCTGGTTGGGGCATGAGAGGAGCTTTTCTGGTTTCAGTGTCGTGGCCGCCCTCTCAGAGGAGGGGTGGCCGCAGGTGTGTGGAGCACGGCCGGTCAGTGCCGGGCGGTCACGCGTGGCCTGTGTAACCGTGTGCTGTCCTCTGCAGATGCCGATGTTTACCCAGGGCTGGCCGTGTTCTTCCAGAACGCACTCATATTCCTGAGGTAAGGTGCCGGTTTCTCAGCCACTCGGAACGTGCGCGGAAATGCCATCTTTCCTGTAAGGGCAGCGAGGACGGTGGGACTCACACACGAACCCTTAGACGAGGACCATGCGCAGGGCGTCTTAGAACGGAGCCGTCTGTGGTGGACAGCAAGCACGGCCGGGGAGCCAGGGCCGCTGTGTGCCAGGCCGCGCTGGCGGCTTTCTGCTGGCCCTGATTCCCGTGGAGTGACCTTAAACAGGGTGCTCGCATTTAATGCACGCAGAAACAAGGCCCGAGCTGACCGGGACGCCCGGCCGGGGTGCAGAGCTGACCGGGACGCCCGGCCGGGGTGCAGAGCTGACCGGGACGCCCGGCCGGGGTGCAGAGCTGACCGGGACGCCCAGCCAGGGGGTGCAGAGCTGACCGGGACGCCCGGCCGGGGTGCAGAGCTGACAGAGGGACGTCCAGCCAGGGGGTGCAGAGCTGACAGAGGGACGCCCAGCCAGGGGGTGCAGAGCTGACAGAGGATGCCCATCAGGGGGTGGTGGTGGTGGTGTGCAGAGCTGATGAGGGATGCCCAGCGTGGGGTTCAGAGCTGGCACTGATCTCACGTCTCTGCGTCCATAGCCTCTGTTTTCTTAAAAAACAAGCAAGTTAAAACGTAGGCGGTGCCTTTGTTTACAAAGAACAGGATGCGTGTGCCTGCTGTGCACAGACCGGGTGCGAGCTGGCCTTCCCGGGGCCGGCCCAGGCTTCCCTCACGCCTGCTTTCTGTCCTCAGCACGCTCGTCTACAAGTTCGGGAGAACTGAAGAGCTGTGGACCTGAGATCACTCTGAACCTCCTGCTCGCCGTCTTCTGTTGTAGATTTCTTTTGTTATCTTTTATGTCTTCTGGTATAGATTCCTTTTGTTATCTTTTATGTAGCTCGCCCGCCGCCTTCTGGTGTGGATTCCTTTTGTTATCTTTTATGTCTTCTGGTGTAGATTCCTTTTGTTATCTTTTATGTAGCTCTCACATCGCCATGTAGCATAGGTTGTCCATTGAATGTTGTGTTGCTTTTCACTTGTATGCTCTGAGTCTTGAAACGGTTTTATGAGTTTTCTGCTTTTTGATGACCAGATTGTTGACTTGTACATAAGACGGTACAGCATCGCCTTTACTCCTGCGGAGGCGGGTCCGTGTCCCGAGTCAGGGTGTCGTCACGTGGGTAGTTAACTGCTTTGCTTCAGTCCCCCAGACGTAAAGATACAACGTCATGCTTCGGAAATACGCGCCGAGCCGTTCAAAGGTGTTTCAGAAATTGTAACTTATTTTGTCTTAAAAATGAGATTTTTTAAAGGAAATGTTTGTTCTTGTGTATTGAAGAAGTGGATTTTTCTATGAAGAATTTTTAAATGCCTGAAGGACTGGTTTGAAAGCCTCTTTTGGAAACGACTCCTTGGCCGTGACTAATTGAGGAGAGGGCTCCGATGCACTGAGCCCGCTTCTGTGTGGCTCCGTGAAGATGGGGCGGCGGGCGGCTCAGCAGCAGCGTCTGACACCCTGAGGGGCCGCGGCCGCGAGCGAGGCTGAGGCAGCTGCGCTCAGAAGCATGGCCGCATGGCCAGCGGACTGGTCAAGACCCAGTCCTTCTTCCCCAGGGAGTCTGACCAGCTCTCGGCTCCAGCTCTGGGCTCTGGCGCCCGGCAGGCGCCTCTGTCTGAAGCGCCATGGCCCCCAGACAGCCGTGCGCGGAGCTGGAAACGCCGCCTGGTGGTCCTGCCAGACTGGGGCCCCTGGCCCTGCAGGTCTGTGTCACATGTTTGCCTCCGGGGAAGTCCCCGCCTTTCAGGGACGGTGCTGTCGGTGAGCCGTCTGCAGCCGGGGCCGCGGGCGCCCCTCCGCAGGACGCCTGTGGAGCGGTGCCGACGCCGAGCCGCCCTGCGGCCTGTCCTGGCGGCTGCGTTTGTCTCGCTTCAGCACGTTGTCAGGCTAGTGACGCGTTCCCGATCTCTGTCACCTCCTGCAATAATCGCTCCCACACACCCTGATATGATTAAATCTTGGAGAAAACAAGCCATACCAATTGGTTTGCTGTTTATTTTTTTATTATTTGAGGGGACCCGTCAGAGAAGCAGTTTCTCTTTATGAAAAAGGGGGGGGGGGAGGCTGCTCCCCACGGGCCCCTGCCTGACCCGTGAGCCGGCCCAGCCCGATGGGGGCAGCCTGCAGCTGACGCGTAGGCTAATCCCCGGCACCCTGCCCTGCCCAGCACCTCCTCCTGCATGGCCGAGCTGCAGTGAGCCCCGAGCCTGGCAGCATCACCTGGGACTGTGACCCGCCCCCTTCCCACACCAACTCGTGGGCACCTGCCAGGCCCCAGGATCCCACCGTCCTGCCGCCCAGCGTGTGCCCCGTACGCTGCCTCCCCCAGTGACAGGCTGGAGCGGCCCCTCCCCGGTCCCGCTCCGGGCTGTGCTGTCTCGGCTTCCCCTGTCCACGTGCTCGCTCCTGGCGGCCGGCAGCCGGGAGAGGATCGCGGGAGTCCGGCTGTCCACTGCTGTGCGGGGCGGTGGCCCTGACGTTAGATGTGGGGGGGGGGGCACCCCAAGGCACAGGCGAGCCCCCTCACTTGTTTGAGGACCTGCGCCCAGCGGCGAGTGGCAGAAGGGAAAGCGTGCGTGGCTGGGGGTGCCCCCTGCTGGGCGGTTTGCTGCCCAGCGCAGCCCAGCCAGAGGCCGAGGCGGGTGCACACGCCGCCTGTGCCCAGCGTGAGGGGCCTGGCCTGGCTCCCTCCCCGGCAGGAACGAGGGGGAGGTTTGCAAACGGAACGTGGCGCGGGATGCCATGTCCACGCTACGCCCGCCGGGGGCAGTCCCGATGCTGCCGGGCGGTCTGCTGCCGATCGGGGCGCGTCCGCGGACAGCACAGGGCCCGGCGCCGCGGCAAGTGTGGGGAGTCCTGTGGTCACCGGGACCACGCGGCCGTGAGGCTGACCTAGACAAGCAGGAGCCTCCGCCTCCACACCCCGGCCAGGGAGCAGGCCCAGGCTCCGTCTTACGCCCGTCTCCTCGTGTCCTTTTCTCACATGGACAGGTCCCCGGGGCCCCGCTCCGTCTGGAGGGGAGCTTTCCCGGGAGGGTCCACCCCAGCCCAGGCGGGAGGCGGCTCAGGCGCTCCTCCGGACGGGCGCCCTGCCTCCGGCCGCGGTTCCCGGGCTCTGGGCCGCGAGCCTCCAGAGGAGGTGTGCCCGCCAGCGAGCCGGCCGAGGTTCAGCATCCCGGAAAGTCTCCCGTGGGCGCCGCCGCTAAAAGGCCTGGTGTGGTGTCACACGGTGTTTCCTTTAGCTCCTGGCAGGCCAGCCCCACCCACTGGGGATGGTGGTTACTGGGTCGGGAGGGTGGAGGGCTGCAGGGGGCAGCACATCGGGGTGTTAGGGATCCCGTGTGCTGGGTGCCCGCCTGTGAGGCAGTAGCCATGGTGAGCCTGGCCCCTGGGCTTGGGCTCTCGGCCTGTCACCAGGTTAAACCGCTGCCTTGGGCCCTAACCGGTGTGGCTCAGTGGATAGAGCATCAGCCTGTGAACTGAAGGGTCCCAGGTTCGATTCCAGTCCAGAGCATGTACCTTGGTTGCAGGCACATCCCCAGTAAGGGGTGTGCAGGAGGCAGCTGATGGACGTTTCTCTCTCATTGATGTTTCTGTCCCTCTCCCTTCCTCTCTAAAAAAATAAATGAAAAACAAAAAACCAACACCGCCGCCTTGGACTCTGAAGGGCCTTTCTGAGCGAATCCATGGGCGGGTCCAGCCGGGTCAGAATCCACCCCCAGGGCCGGCCGCCTGTCCCTGCCCCGCCAAGCCGTACCTGCTTTTTCTTAGGGGGCACATGTGAGCTTACTTCCAACTTCACTTCTAACTTCCTGGCAGAACAGATTTGCCCCCTTTCTGCAGGGCTCCAACTATTTCTTTATTGTTAATCCTCACCCAATGATATTTTTTTTTAGAGAAAAAGGGGAAGACAAACATTGATGTAAGCCGCATTGATTGGTTGCCTCCCACACTGCAACCTAGGTACATGCCCTTGACTGGACTCGAACCCAAGACCCTTCAGTCCATGGGCCAAAGCTCTACCCACTGAGCAAACCAGCCAGGGCAGGGGCTTGACCTTTAATTTAAAAATATATTTTTATTAGTCTCAGAGGGGTTGGAAGAGGGAGAGATAGGAACATCAATGCTGAGAATTATTTCATCACTGCCTCCTGCACGCCCCCTGCTGGGGATTAAGCCTGCACCCTGAGCCTGTGCCCTTGACTGGAATCGAACCCAGACCCTTCAATCCACAGGCTGACGCTCTACCTGCTGAGCAAACCAGCCAGGGCCGGGCTTGAACTCTTCTTTTTTAATATATTTTATTGATTTTTTTTTTTTTACAGAGAGGGAGAGAGCTAGAAAGGTCGATGAGAGAGAAACATCGACCAGCTGCCTCTTGCACACCCCCTACCGGGGATATGCCCGCAACCAAGGTACATGCCCTTGACCAGAATCAAACCCGGGACCTTTCAGTCTGCAGACCAACGCTCTACCACTGAGCCAAACCGGCTTCGGCGGGGCTTGAACTCTTAACCGGCTCCTGCTGCTGCCTACAAGGCCTCCTGGCAGGCTGCACCCGCCCAGCAGGGGGCGCTCTTGTACCTCAAATGATCCCAGGCAGGCCCTTCGTTCACAGCTACTGACTCTTCCACACCTGCGCCCAGCGAGGTGCAGAGGGTGGGTGTCCTTCTACCTCCTGTCACCCAGATGGCAGGACACTGTGCTCGGTTAGAAAGCCAGCCCAGGAGCCCTTCCTCACCAGCTGGACAGACCCCCGAGAGAGAGAGGGGGAGGGGAGAGGGAGGACACCATCAGTTCATGCTTGAAGCTTCATGTCCCCGCAGTCGCTGTCTTCTTCCCATTCGAGGTCAGGCGGCTAGGAGGGGCCTTTCTGAGGCAGACTTTACATCCTGTGTCGCTGTGTGTGTGTGTATGTGTGTGTGTGTGAGCACTGCACATCCCCCTTCTACATGCTGAGTCATAGGAATGAGTCTAACCCGTGTGCTTGGAGCACCGGAGCCGCCAGCAACCCTGCAGTCAGGAGACCCGTGCCGTGGGCATGGGTACTGCCACCAGCTGATTCTCGGTCTGCCCACAGCCCGCCGTGGCCAGCCGTGCGACCATCACAGGGAACGAAGGTGACACGGCTTCTACCGTGTTTCCCCGAAAATAAGACCTACTTACAGGTTTCCTTCTGAGTGAAATATAAGGCATCCCCAAAAAAATAAGGCCCCCCCTTAGACTAAACAGAGATTTGGTCCACTGATTCTTAAAGAAATGGAGTCACAAGAAATTCACCAGGAAATTCAGGAACTGGATTGTTATGATATGTTCCAGAAGATGATGGCATGATTGTCATTGAATAAATGAGTAAATTCTTGATACTGTAGGATTCAGTTTGTCTGGTTTGTGTTGACAACTACCGTACCGTATACAGGTAATAAATTTCCTTTATTTTCATTTAACAATAAATGTGTACCGCATTCTTCTTCACGGAAAAATAAGACATCCCCTGAAAGTAAGACCTAGCGCATCTTTGGGAACAAAAATTAATATAAAACACTGTCTTATTTTCGGGGAGCACTATTAGGTGAAGGGCCATAGGGGGAGAGTCGGAGGGGGAGGGAAGGGGAGTGAGCCTTTGCTGAGGGCTCAGGCCACGCCCTTGGAGGACATGGCCACGCCCCTGGTGACCACAGCCACGCCCGGCCTTGCTACACCTTTCAAGGAACCAGGCAGCCCACACAGGGAGTTCTCGCCACGCTACTGGGTGTACTTGAACCCGAAGGCCAGGTGAGGTAACTTAAAAACGTGAAACTCAGAAAACAGCCAAAAGGGGAAAAGGGGAAAGCTCCTGTATACTTTTTGAAAGCTATACAGTCTTTTATTTCCAGGTTGAAAAAAACCCTAAATTACCAGAAACTATTTACAGGATTAAGCTGTCTTCAGCCGGGGGACCGGCGTGAGGGCGCGGTGTCCCTGCAGGGCTGCCGGGCGGCGAGGACGCGGCAGGCCTGCGGAGTCCAGGGGCGGCTCCTGCCACTTGCTCACAATGAGACAGGCCCTTTTGGTGTTTGAGAGGAGCCATTCTGGGGGATCTGTAGAATCATCCTAGAAAGTCGTCTGATTAGAAACGTCTTAAAGGAAAAAGTAAGCGTGTCTTCCCCAACAAGGCCCGACGGCCCTGCCTGCGCTGGGACGTGGAGTCCTGGGCTTGGGAAGTCCTGAGAGAAGAGGTGGGCGCGGGGGCTGCGGGTCCTGCTCCCACTCCGCAGGCTGGGCCACAGCGTGTGGTTCAAAGTGTTGGGACAGTGTCCCCCGCTTCGGAGGGCGTCCCCGGCTCCTGCTCCAAGGACGAGACTTCGGACACCATGTCCCAGGCATCGTCCTCTGCCGGGCTGTCCTGGTCCAGGGCCTCCAGGATGTGCTGAGCCGGGTCCTTTAAATACTGGGGGAGCGAAACCAACACCAATGAGTGACCGGCTCCAAGCCCAGGCCTCGGGCTCGTCTTGTCGGCACCAGGGCGTGCTACTCAGGTTCACTTCCTAACCTGTCCCCAAGGAACCACCGCCAAACCCGGGCGCCGCCGGCTGGCCGGCCAGACCCTGACGGGACCCAGGGTCCCTCAGGAAGGGGGTCTGCCCGCTGGGCGGGGTGGGGACCATCCCAGCAGGTCTCAGTCTGGTTCCCAGCGAAGGAGCATGCGGGACCTCGGTCAGCGACGGGGAGAGCAGGCTCGCTGGCCGCAGCCAGAAGCAAATACTCTATCAGCTTCTAACCCTACACCGTCCCGACTGACCCATAGGGCCCGGCTGCCTCCCAGAGCCGCTGGGGCGGGGGCGGGGACTGTGCAGGGAAATGAGATTCCCCTCAAGAGCCCCCCAACCCTTTACAGGCCTTTGCCGAACTAGTTACACCCTGGGACCCGGGGTGCAAAGCCCTGTGCTCACAGCGCCGGGCGTTCACTCCGGAACCCCGTGCACACGGCCGGCCCTGAGCACACTTTCCCTCCGGGCCTCTCTCTGCTCCCACCCTGGCCGGGCTCCCCCAGCGTCCCCCCGAAAGCACACGGCGGCTGTGTTGCCGAGAGAAGGCCCTCCTGCCACCAATCTCTTGGCCAGGTTGCCGTTTTGCCTAACCTGGTGCCATTAAAAAAAATTTTTTAACTGTGCTAATATAACCTAAAAACGGTCACCGAACCACTTATGGGCGTGTGGCTTCGCAGTGGTGAGTACACTGACATGGCTGAGCAACACCGCTACCCTCCATCTCACAACTGTCATTTTAAAACCAGAAACTGTCCCCACGGAAGGCAAACTCCCACCCCTGCCAGCCCTGGCACCCGCCCCCCCTCCACTGCCCATGAACTTGAGGACCTGAAGTGCCTCATGGCATGGAGTCACGCGGTTTTTGTCTTTGACCGACCGGCACAATGCCTCCAGCCCGTCCATGCTGCAGCCGGTCGGAAGCTCTGTGGAGGCGTGACGTTCTAGTGTGTGCGTGTCACGTGTTTACTCCTTCACCCTGATGCCAGGGCACGCACCTCTGACTCCAATCCCCGGGTCCCTGGCCGCGCCCACACGTACCTCCTCTATCTGCACCGGGATGCCGGGCGGTGTGTGGAACCAGTACTTGATCAGGCCCCGGAACCGCAGGATGAGGAAGACGCAGGCGCCCGCCAGCCCCGCCAGCCCCAGGAAGGTGGCCGCCGCGACCAGGACGACCCGCTGCAGCCTGGTGGAGGCTGGGAGAGGACAGAGGTCAGCGAGAGGGGCAGCCGTGACTCCATCATGGGGTCATGTTCTCCTGTCCCCGGGGACCGGCACAGGGGCCCTCCCGCCGCCCTATCTGCTCCAGGGCCTAGTGAGGCAGCCTCACACCAAGCCAAGGCTGGGGCATGGCCGTGGTCACCGGGGCGTGGCCGTGTCCGCCAAGGGCGTGGCCTGAGAGCCCTCAGCACAAGCTCGCTCCCCTCCACTCCCCTCCCCTCCAGCTCTCCCCCGACTATGGCCCTTCACCTAACAGTGCTCCCTGATGTCACTATTTCAGGGGCGTCCTTTCCCGGCTCAGAGGGCCCGGAACACATCTCACCGTCCGCTGCTGTCTGGTGACAGGAGACGTTGCTTGCGAGCCCGGGTCTGTCGAGGTCCTGGGCCTTCCAGAGCAGGTGCGCCTGCACCCGGAGGCAGTACTGGCTCAGCGGCTGCAGGTCCCGCAGCACGATGGAGCTGTCCCGGTAGGGGCCCCTCACCTGCGGGACACGGGGTGTGAGCGACTGACCCCGACCCACAGCCGGGGGTCCTCAGCCTCACGGAGAACCACGGCTCTGAGCGCCCCTGGCCGGCAGCGGGCAGGTTGTGGGTTTTGGAGGTAAAATCAGCTTTATTGGAATTTTACTTGTGAGTAATTTGAGAGATTTTTAAGCGTAAATTTGATATAAAACATTTTACCTTATAAGTTGATTCCAGTACATAATCCCAAGGAGAATGTTTTTACTACATTCTTATTTTTCAATTTCCAAATTAAGATGATAAAAAGCAAATAACGTGTGGAGTTGTGCTTATTGTGAGTGGTTATGGCACTGTGGTTAGAAACCCTACGTTTTCTGGCTTTAAATACCCACCATCAGCCCACAAGACACCACTCCCTGCAGCTCGCACGAGCGGAGAAAGAGCGGTGCTGGGCGGGCCGAAGGCAGGTGGGGAGGCTCAGCCCAGGGAGGCGGCGAGCAGGGCAGAGTTCGAGCCCCCGTGTAAGGCGGCTCGTCAGCAGCGGAAGCCCCGCAGGGAGAGGACTGAGGATGGTGCCCGGCTTCGGGGCTGCTTCTGACCGAGAGGTCTCCGGGCCATCGAGACTCATAAACCCACCAACCGGGGCCCCCGGGCGCTCCCCGCGTCCAGAATGCCATTCTCTCCTTTAAAAGGAGCGTTTTGTAGTCGGTGGTTAGTCTAATCTAGATACTCTGAGTTAGTCAACAGAGAAAAATCCTTCTGGGAAAAATGTGCCTCTAGTGCCAACCTGCTTCGAGTTTTAATGGAACGTGGCCGGGCTGCCCACCCGCAGGCCCCCACACCTGGCCCTCGTCATCTGGCTCCTCCTGGCCCCGGACAAGGCTGTCCGCCCCCCAGGCAAGGGGAAAAGGACGGGCCTCCGTGGGACACCGTCCATGGCGCCGCCTCTGGCTCAGACACAGCGGACGCTCGGCAGCCATTTGGAACGGGCGACCCCGGCTCAGGCCAGGGAGAGCGCTGCTATGGCGCTGAGTGCAAGAAGCAGGTCCTTCCCTCGGGCACAGGCCACCACCCACGTTAGAGGGCAGAGAGGGACGGCATCGTTTACGAGCAGCAGGGGACAGTGAGCTTTAACCCATTTCTCCGGTTAGTGCTGCCGGCTGCCGGGCGTGGGGGAAAGCTGCTCTGATGCCACACAGAGCGCCATTGAGGTCTGTCAGCAGCCAGGCGGGCATTTCCAATGCAGAACATGGGCTGCAGAGAAAAGCTGGTGTTCAGGCAGGAGCCGCTGCCAGGGGAAGGCCTGCCGCCCTGGCTGGCCCTGGCTGCCCACATGGCTGGCCCTGGCTGGCACCAGCCTGGTGCTCGGCGGCCCCGCCCCCACAGCCGGCAAGGGAGGCGGTGGGGCGTGGCAGCTGGACCCTGCTTTCCTGCTGCGCCCGCAGCTCCGGCCCCCGGCACAGCCCGGGGGAAGATGACACGGACGGTGCATCTGAGACGCGGGCCCGTGCCAGGCGCGAAGAAAGCCTGGTAAACAGCTCTCGCCGTGAAACTGTGACCATGCTGGAACCGGGAAATGGCGACTTTACACAGACAGGGGCCTCATCGAGTGCACCGCGGCGGCCGGGCACCGGGATGAGGAGAGCCGAGAGCCGCCTCCTCTGCCCGCACCACCCAGCAGTGACCACGCTCAGCCTGACCCCTGTCCACGGATCCCCGGCCCCAGGCCCTCGTCACGTGAGTTTCTGGCGGATCCAGCATGCCCAGGTCCCCTGAGGGCCGCCTTCTCCCGTCGACTGTCCCGTCCCCCCAGGACGCTCCCTCCCCATGGACGCTCCCGTGCTCACACGAGCCTCTCTGCAAACCGTTCACACCTGGTGGCTGGCGTGGTGGATTCCGTGTCGAGACTGACCCAAACCCCAGAGCGTGGCACAGGCGCCACCAGCCTGGGCCCCGGGGGCCGGGAGCACGTGACTCGGACAGAGGGACCCCGTAGGGCGGGAGGGAGCAACAGGCCTGCAGGAGGCGGAGCAGAGCTGGCTCCGATCTCGGGCCAGGGAGGCATGGGGCAGCGGTCCTCATCCATTTTCTTTCTAATCCTCACCGAGGACATTTTCCCACTGATTTCAGAGAGAGTGGGAGAGAGGGAGAGACAGAGAGAAACACCGATGCAAGAGAAACACACCGATTGGCTGCCTCCTGCACGCACCCCGACCAGGGCCTGGGCCGGGGAGGAGTCTGCAACCCAGGAATGTGTCCTTGACCTGAATTGAACCAAGGATGGTCCGCAGGCTGCCGCTCTACCCACTGAGCCATACGGGCCAGGGCTGTCCTTGCCATTTTACTGTCTACATTCTTTCCCTCTATCAGGTACTCCAAGCAAAGAAAATAAAAGTATCTGAAAATGCGCTTGCCTGTGGGTTTCCGTCCTTTTCCCAGTAATGGATGTAATACTGAAACGTGACCATGGAGAGGTCCATGATGGTGAAGGGCGGGGACAGCTTGATGACCAGGGAGCCTTCTCCTGGGGTCACCCAGATGTGTCTTGGAGGCCCAATGGTCACTGAAACAGAATCACAAACAGAACAAAGCTATGTAAGTATACACACACGTCACACTGCATTATGTATCTCTGCATGTATGCAATGCTGCATATATGGCCTGCACGCGCACACACACCCGTTTACATGTGCATTCGGGTTCACTGGAGGCTGCTCCGGCACGAGACCCACTCCGAGGCTGCAGGGCAGGGAGCAGCTCCAGGGAAGGGCCCGCGCCGGCCACACGGCCCCCCAGTCTCTCCGGTCCCCCCGGGAGGCGCGCAGGTGCCAGCGGCCGTGACCCATGTTGGCAGGCACTGGAGCCCCTTATCTTAATAGCCCCAGAGCCAGTACCTCTTATCTTTTTATTTTATTACTAGAGGCTCAGGGAGTGGTGTGTCCCTCAGCCCAGCCTGCACCTTCTTGCAATCTAGAACCTTCCTGGGAATGTCAGACTGCTGGATCGGGCCTAAACCAGCAATTGGACATCCCTCTCGCAATCTGGGACCGCTGGCTCCTAACCGTTCGCTCTGCCTGCCTGATCACCCCTAACCATTCACCTGCCTGCCTGGTTTTCCTTCTAAAACTCAAGCTGCTTTTTTTATTTTTAATATAGTTCTTTATTTTATTTTAAAAGTCACCCTTCTTGAGGACGTGAGGCATTTAACATTATTCCATATTCCTTACAGCGAGCTAAGCATGGTAAACACGGCAGATTCTAAATACTTATGGGCTTCCACACAAACACTTTTTAACTAGGAATGCTGTAATAGGCAGCCTCCAAAAGCTTGAACTGGAAAACCTAAAGTGGAGTCTCAGATTTCAGACATCAGATGCTGTTAGCAGGATCTCTGTCCCAATTGAACTCTGACTCTGAGCTCTCAATGATCTGGACAAACCGCCCTTCACTGTCCCCAAAGTTTCTTACTCGTCACTATCCCATTTTCCTTTTTTTTTAGTTCAATGTTTTATATCCACATTAGTGTCAACATACCATACAGACCCAACTGCCAGCCTAGCTGGGCAGGCAGAAGGGTGTCCATGGCAGCATAGAAAACAGCGATTCTTGTCCCCAAAGAGGAGAAAATGGGTTTACAGTCAAGTAAACAAAATCAGGGCCAACATGTTTAAGAAGCTTTGACGCTGCATCGAGCGGAGGTGCTGTGGGCAGCCTGCGTCTCGGCTGGCCCGGCGGCAGCCTCGGCTCCCGGGAAGCCTGGGGTCAGACAGGGCCCAGCTCTGGAGGCGTTTTAATGGTTTTGCTTTTGGGAGGAGGGCTTCTGGGCAGCAGCTCCAGGTGGGAGGTTTCACTCCAGGGTTTGGACGGGAAGTTGGGTCTGTGGGGCGGGACCAGCTGAGGTTCCTTCCTGCCTTGACCCCAGGTCTGTGGTTTAAAACTCAGGGCGCCAGGCAGGGCTCCGCACCCCAGGGTCTGTGTAAACACGGAGGCACGGCAGAGGGAGTGGGGACTGCAGAAATTGGTGCCCATGGGGAAAGGGGGCATGGGGTGGGGTATGTCTTTTTTTATATATATTTTATTGTCTACATTCTTTCCCTCTATCAGGTACTCCAAGCAAAGAAAATAAAAGATTTTTACAGAGAGGAAGGGAGAGGGATAGAGAGCTAGAAACATCGATGAGAGAGAAACATCGACCAGCTGCCTCTTGCACACCCCCTACTGGGGATGTTCCCGCAACCAAAGTACATGCCCCTGACCGGAACCGAACCTGGGACCCTTCAGTCTGCAGGCCGACGCTCTATCCACTGAGCCACACCGGTTTCGCCTGGAGGAGGAGGAATGTCTTCTAACAGAGACTTAGAGGTACAGAGACTCAGAGAGACAGAGATGGGGATAGGAGTGACAGGACGTGAGAGGCTCAGAGAAAGCGAGCGAGCGAGCGAGAGAGACGGACAGAGACAGACGGGGTCCTGCTCTGAGTCAGGCGCTGGGGGCGCGGGGGTGTGCAGGGTGACGTGAGGGCGTCGTTCTGTGCAAGGGGAGGGTGCGGCCACGCAGCAGCAGCTCCCAGGGACCCGCACGGGCTGCGGGGCTCCCAAAGGCCGGGCGGGCGGCGGCTGCTCTCCCGGTGAGGAAGGACGCCCGCGGGCGGCGGGTCTGGCACACCGGGTTCGCGTCCCCGGGGGGGGGGGGGGAGGCCATCCGCATCCTCCATCGGCGCACACTGGGCTCCGGGCTCCTCGTGAGGCCTGGCTGCAGGCCGTGCCTGTGGTCACCGATCTCATCGATGTCCGGGTTGTCCGAGGCCTGTGACCCAGGCCTGTGCCCGCAGCTCTGCTCCCCTCCCGGGCTCTCGGGGCTCCGCACCTCGTCCTGTGCCTCAGCCGGAAGCTGCCGGCGCCCCCGCCGCAGCTCGCGGAGGCGATGAGGCGACGTGCTCTCCTCGCAGAGCCGGCGCCGGCGGCCCTCGTGCCCCTCACACCGGGGTAACCAGCTCATTCTTCCGCCGGGAACAGCGACCCTCACAGGACGTCACTTCCCGCCGGAACCACGTGCAAACACCGCGAGACGAGGACCACGGGCTGGCTGTGCGCATGCGTAGTAACAGGCTCACGTTCCCGCCGGCGCCAGGCGTCCTCCCCGACCCCACAATCCCCTGCGCGCCCACTTCCGGTTCCTCCGCCTTCGCCTCTGGGGCGTCTTCCCCGCGCCGCCCGCCCAGGGCCTCGGGCCGAGGCGGGTTGTTTGGCGCGGTCGGCTGTTTGCCGTCGAGAAGCTGTGAGGTCTGGGGAGCACGCCGTCCCGGGCGCCCCAGGAGCAGCCGCCCCTGCAGCCCACTCCCGCCCGCCGTGAGGACGGTAGGTGCGAAGCCGTTTTCCCAGCGGACCTTCCTCCTCCTTCCCAGCTCCCTCCAGACCTCCTCCTCCCGACCCCAACCCCAGGCCCTGCAGCCCTCCCCCCATCTCTTCCACTTTCCCCATCCAACTCGCACCCTATCTGTCGCGTTGCCTTGGGGCGCCCCTAACTGCTCCCGGGGCCGCCTGGTGTTCTGGTCTCTGGTCGTCTGGTCGGTCCAGTAGCTGGCTTTTTACATGGAGAGTGGTGGTTTTGTTAATCCTCACCGAGGATACTCCCCCATTGATTTTGTAGAGCACATGTGTCAAACACAAGGCCCGCTGGCCAAATCCGTCCCGCCAGGCCTTGCAATGTGGCCCGCACCGCGCTGTCATCACTGCACTCCGCTGCGTTTCCATCACAATGACAGTTTATGACTGTTCAGTAAACCATTCGGCCCGCGATTTAGGCTGGATTTTAGATTTTAGCCCCTTCTCTGATTGAGTTCGACACCCCTATTGTAGAGAGTGGAAGGGAGGGGGAGAGACAGGAACATCCAGTGAGAGACATCCATTGGTTCCTCCTTCCCCTGACTGGGACTGGGGATCCAGCCTGCAACCGAGGCGCGTGGCCTTGACTGGAATTGAGCTCAAGGACCCCAGTCCTCGGGGTGACGCTCTATCCACTGAGCCAGCCCGGCTAGGGCGAGACCTCTTCTCATCACTCCACAAACTACCGCCCAGAGTCCCCGCCCCGTTCCCAGGAACACTGCGCCCAGCGGAGGCCACTGCAGGCCGTTCAGGCTGAAAGGCGGTCCCAGCCGGGCCACGCTGCCCACAGCAATGCCACCAGGCTCCTGGCAGACACGCCGCCTTGATCAGGTTCCAGAGAAGCCGAGAGGAGGGCTAACCACGGTCCTGTTTTCATGCGGCAGAAAAGGTCTCGGTGGCCCTTCCCTACTGTGTACACCTTGTTATGTAACCACACCCGCCCTTAAACCCTCTTGTCTCCCAGCTTATCATGATCCAGAGTCCAAATATCACTGAGACACGCTACCTCCAAAGTCTACTTGTCAAGGCTTTTCATGCACTTCCCAGGCCAGCCAGGCCCCGACTCGTGTGCTATAAATGAATGACATCACCATCAAGTAAGCATTTAATCTGTGCAGTTTGGCCGGTGAGCTCAGTGGTTAGAACCTCGAGGGCACACTAAAGAGTTTTGGGGTTTGATTCCTGGTCAAGGGTACACTCCTGGGTTGTAGGTGCATGTGGGAGGCAACCAACCGATGTCTCTCCCCCTACCCCCCATCTCCTTCCAACTCTCTGAAAAAGCAATGGAAAAGTATCCTCAGGTGAGGGCTAACGAGGTGGTGCGCGATGGGCTGTGGCTATACGGCCGGACAGCTTCCCTTTTACAGAGCAATGGCGGGAGTCCGGGACCCGCAGGGGCAGCCGCTGCTCGGGCTCCCTCTGCAAGGCAGTCTCTAGACTTCCGTGACTTCCCCACGGGCGAGGCGTGGGGCCTGGGAGCCCGGAGCAGGCACTTCATCGCTGCATGTCAGCGCCCACAGACCCGCCCTTCTGCAGGGCGTCCCCACCTGGATCCTGACACCAGCTGACCAGCCGTCCCCTGAGGGACCGGGCTTCCCTCCGCGCTGACCACCGGGGTGGCTGTGCGCAGCAAAGGCCGTGTCCTGACCGACGACACACCCAGCAGCGTGGACGTGCACGTGTCCCCAGACCGCACAGCGGCCACTGGAGGGTTCCCCACGGCCAGCAGGGATCGGAGCCAGGGACGGCCAGCGGCAGAGCTGGGGTGTGCACAGTCTGCGTGGCGCCAGCTCCGTCCCCTCTAGTCACCTGCTCGCTCATCCGCCTCCACCCGGGGGGACAGCAGCGATGGGACCGGCTGGCCCCTGCACGGCCCACACTGGGGGCCCACAACCCAGCATGTGCCCTGCCCGGGAATCGAACCCTGACCTCCTGCTTCCTAGGTCGATGCTCAGCCACTGAGCTGCACCGGCTGGGCCTCTGCATTATTTTGATCGAGTCTCAGACATTGCATCATCTTGTCTGGACTTGAGCTTCAGTAGGATCCCTAAACAACAGAACCCATTTAAAAACACAAATACCATTGTAACTAGCAGTAAGGGCCTAACTATCAGCAGCTGTCTAGGCGGTGGTCCCTCCTCAAGGAGACGTCCGGGCCTCAGTCACCTCCATGCTTTGTGCCTCCTGAGCCGCAGCCCCCGAGTGGGAAACGAGCTGGGAGCTCGCGTTTCCGTCCGTCAGTAACAGCCTCCCTGCCTGTGCCACGCGCCAGGCGCTGTTCCTGCGGATTAGTCTTTCTAGAGCATAGAGGAAGCCGCCAGGATGGAGGGAGGCCGTGCAGCCACACGCCAGTGTGCGCCGGACGAGGCCAGCACACCGCTCAGCGAGGCCGGGCAGGCCCAGCCTCTGCAGACGGCCCGATGCAGAGAATGCAGCGAGCTAGAAGCCGGTGTGGCTGCGTCCCAATAAAACCTCGTTTATAAAAACAGGCGGTGGGCCGGCAGTAGTCTGGGCGGCCAGGCCCCGGGTTTGCCCATCACCGCCAGGACCTGGGTGTGCCCGGGTGCCCGCCTCTTTGCTGTGGTTCAGGAGAGGCAGGCCGGCGGCACGTGGAGCCAGCGCCGCTCGGCAGAGAGGGACCGGACCCGCGGGGGCTCTGCCGGCACTTACCGTTGCGGTAGTGCTGGAACCAGGGCGCCGAGGCCCAGGCGGAGACGCGCCCCGGCAGCTCGGCCCGGACGCGCAGGGACACGTTGAAGTAGGGCAGGAAACCCGGGGACAGGCTGGGGGCGGTGAAGTCACACTCGGTCGCAGTGATCTTGGAGCAGTTCACCCCGACGCTGCTCAGCGTGACGTCGGACCACTCGCGGCTGCTGGGGCTGAACAGAAACCGGAAACCGAGCTCAGCGGCCAGAAACCGCTCTCCTGGTGCATGGCCCTCCGGGGCGGGTGTGTGTGATCGCAAGCCACACGTCTGCCCGTGACCCAGCAACTCTCCGCCTACCCAACAGGTGTACGACCTTCACAGTCACTCTTAGGTTTCACCCCCAAACCCCGTACCATCACAGTCACCCCCTCCGCCCCAGGCCATCACTGACCCACTTCCTGCCTGTGGGGCCACAGCCATAACTGATGTTCGGCTGACATTCACATGACCTGGTTTGTGAACACACACTCAGGCGTATAGCATCATGGACACAGGTTTTAATGCGCTGGGTGGAGGTGGAGGTGGAGGTGGAGGTGGGGGCGGTGGCTGTATTCCCACCCAGGTGCGAGCACTGTGGACGTTTCTGTGGCTCTGAGTGGACAGGAGGCCAGTGAGGGCCCCCCGCCCCCCCCACCCCGTACCCACCAGCCCCGTCCAAGCCCCCGGGGTGGGACCGTTTCGTTCACGTGGTTTATCGGGTCTCATAAAAGGGCTCAGCTAATAGCGGTCACCGATTGGTAACAACGAGGACCTGTGCTTGCCTTCCGTTCCCTGGAACCAGTGAGTCACCCGCCACACCGAGAGGCCATGTGGTTAGACAGCGGGCTCTCTGGTGCGGGTGAGGTGGGGCCTCTGACCTTGCAGGTCCGGCAGCCCGAGCGGATGCTGTGCTCCGAGGGCTGGCTCCAGTCCTGCCGGAGGCGTACGCGGTGGCCCAGAGCCCTCAGCCCCCCCAGACCCCACAGAAGATCCGCTTACTATTTGAACTGCACCTGGTACACCACCGGCCCCACCTCGTGGCTCAGCGGCCCCGGCTCCCAGCCCAGGACCTGCTCCGTGTTGTACAGGCGGATCTTCAGGTTCTGAGGCGCAGGCAGCTGGGAGGGAGGGTCTGGAGGGGGACCCAGGACAGGAGGTGGGGAGAAAAGAGGACAAAGAAGACAAACCAGTTATTGTACAAACATATTGAAAGCACGCTGTCGGTTTGTCCCAGCTGAGAAACGGCATTGCCCCTCTCCCCATGACCAGAGATGGCACTGCCGACCGGTCCCCGGGGAAGGAGGCCCTCCTCGCAGGCCCTGGGCTAGGAGTCTGGCTGGCCTGGGATGCCTGCCTGTTCCAGCGAGTGTGTGACTGGAGAGGGAGAGGGAGAGAGACAAACATCAGTGATGAGAGAGATCAGCTGCCTCCAGTACACCACCTACTGTAGATCGAGCCCACAACCCTTCAGCCCTAGGCTGATGCTCTACCCACTGGACCACACGGCCCCGGCCCTGCCCACCAGTTTACACGGCCCATGTCCATGGCAGAGCCTCCTCTGACTGAACCAGCAACACGCCTCCTCCTCTCCAGCAGCCATCCCCCTCCTGCTTGCCCGTGGGCTGCTGACCCCGTCCGATCAGTGGGGTGAGCCTACCCCTCGCAGACTCTCACACCTCCGTGTCCTGCCTCTTACTTTCTGATGCTGACACGCATCGCCACCAGCCACCCCGACTGCGCTCAGCTCCGGAGGCCGAGGTCAGACAGGCCGCGGGGCGAGGTGCGTGGAGCTGGTTCCCTCTAAGGTTCTCGGGGAGGAAGGGGCCTCGCCCTGTGCCAGCGCGTGCTGCCCCCCCCCCCCCACCCGCCTCAGCCCTGCTCGCTGGCCTCCCTCTTCCTCCTTCCAAGGACCTGTGAGTCTGTAGGGCCAAGAGAGCCCAGTGTTCCAGGTCTCTCTCTCTCTCTCTCTCTCTCTCTCTCTCTCTCTCTCGCACACACACCTGTCCTGGGACCTTTAAGGTGACCACATCTTGTGAAGTCCCGTTGGCCGCGGAGAGGAACTGCCCAGGACATCCCGGGCCATGCTCTGCCTGGCCACCTCCGCCCTCGGCCTTCCCCTGGCGCCCTGACGCCCCAGACCAGCAGCTAAGACGGGAGCCCGGGCGGGCGGTGCAGAGGGGCCAGGGCCGGGGGAGCCTCCACTCTCCCAGCTGCTGAGGGGTGCGAGGGGACCCAGTTTTGCTCCTGCGGTGGAGGTTCTTGGAACCCCCTCACCACACTCAGAGGAGAAGCTGTGTTTCCAGGGAAGCACCGGCCTGTCTCAACCGCACGCCTCGATCCCCGCACCCTGCCCAGCCCAGGCCCCTCACTCCGTGTCAGCCTGCGTGGCCTCCCTGCATCGACCTGACCTGGGTTCACACCCCCCACAGCACCAAGGGTCCCGGTCTGGGCACGCACAGGAGGCAACCAATCAGTGTCTCCTCCCTTCCACTCTGTCTAAAAATCAATCAATGGGAAAATATCCTCTGAAAAGGATTAACAACAACAGCAGCAAAAGGCTATCCTGGGTGTCAACAGCAGTTTTTTGTTTTTCAAAGATAACTGTATTGATTTCAGAGAGGAAGGGAGAGGGAGAGAGAAACATTAATGAGAGACACTGATCGGCTTCCTCCTGCACCCCCCCCCCCCTGCTGGGGATGGAGCCCCAAGCTGGGCCCGGACCGGGAATCCACCCCTGACCTCCTGGTTCCTAGGTCAGCACTCAACCACCGAGCCTCGCCGTTGGGGCTTACCAGCACAGTTTAACACACTTCACACACAGATAATAAAATACAGTGCAATTTCATTAAAACTGTTTAATCTTGACAACTGACGATCCTTCAGGCTGTTGACATCCGTGAGCCATATGGTGACTACAATCAGAACCATCAGCCCCTGCAGGCCAGAGGTCAAAACAAAACCGGCGTCCCCAGCCATAGACAGGCCAGAGGTCAAAACAAAACCGGCGTCCCCAGCCATAGACAGGCCAGAGGTCAAAACAAAACCGGCGTCCCCAGCCGTAAGCAGGAAGGAAGCTGCTGCTCTGGTGCCACTGGGCGGCTTATTTACAGACCCCTGGCCTCTACACAAAAAGGGGGCTTTGGTCTCCTAGGGCGGAAACGGGCTGTTACCCACCGCAGAGGGGGCTGGGAAATTAAGAAAGGATGTATGTGTGCGAAGCCGAAGCCCTGCCTGCCCAGGAGAGCGGCCCCACAAATGGTCATCCCATCGTGTACAGCGTGCGCCCCCACCCCCAGGCGTTCCGGCTGCTGAGAGCGGCATCGGGAGTGCATGGGGAGCGTGTGGTGCAGACTCGTCTGCGGTGGTTTCTGTCGCTGGGGCGCTGCCGTCTCTCCTGCCGCCTTGTAGGAGCTTTGTGTGGTCAAGCCAGCGTCACGGAATTCCCCCACAGCCCGGCCATCCATGGCAGTCAGCAGCCGCTCAGGCTGTGCAGCCAGAGGCCCCCTGATCACAGCGCTCGGCTCCAGAGTGGGTGACTCACCCACTTCAGTGTGTGCTCCCAGCAACTGCCCCGCTGGAAGCGGGGTGGGGCCTTTTTTCTGCCAAGGGCCATTTGCATATTTATAACATCATTCGTGGTCAGCAAACCGCCTCTAGAGCGGCTCTGGCCCCTTGAGTGTGGCTCCTCCACAAAATACCACACCTGGGCGAGTCTATGTTGAAGAAGTGGCGTTAGAAGAAGTTTAAGTTTAAAAAATGTGGCTCTCCAGAGAAAGGTCAGTCGTCGTACTGTTGGTATTTGGCTTTGTATTTGGACGGATGAGTTTGCCAACCACGGGCTTAAGAGAATCACTTAATGTAAATCTATGCTCTGAAAAAATCCGGATTTATTGCATTTCAAGTCTGCTTCCAGTTGCTTTGGCAGGGCCAGGCCCAGTGTTTCTTGAGCCTTATATGTACTGACCTTGACTTAAATTGGGTCAGGGCCAATATGTGACGTATTATCCCTAAAACAACCCTCAGGGGGAGATAGTATAAGTCTCCCTTTAAAAAATTTGTTTCCAGCCGAAACCGGTTTGGCTCAGTGGGTAGAGCATCGGTCTGAGGACTCAAAGGTCCCAGGTTCGATTCCGGTCAAGGGCATGTACCTCGGTTGCAGGCACATTCCCAGTAGGGGGTGTGATGGAGGCAGCTGATTGATGACTCTCTCTCATCGATGTTTCTATCCCTCTCTCTTCCTCTCTGTAAAAACTCAATAAAATATATATTTTTAAAAAATTTGTTTCCAATACCCTTTTTAATTTTTTATATATTTACTGGTTTCAGAGAGAAAGGAAGAGGGAGAGACAAACATCAACGATGCGATCATTGATCAGCTGCCTCCTGCACGCCCCCTACTGGGGATGGAGCCCGCAACCCGGGCCTGTGCCCTTGACGGGAATGGAACCTGGACCCTTCCGTCCTCTGGACGCCGCTCCACCCACTGGGCCACACCAGCCAGGGCCCCAGTACTCCCACTTCCCCCTTTTCTCCCCCATAAAACAACTCATGGCTCCCGCGGGACACGGTGCCCGCGGGCAGTGTGGGCGGCACTCTGCCGTCACTGCCCCCGGCCCCGGGCACAGGCCGGGCGGCGGCCCCCAGAGCCCCCTGCCCGCCCGGCCGCCCCCGGGCCCCACTGCGGGCCGCTTCCGGGCCGGGAGCCGGGGCCCCCACCCACCCGCGGCCTCTCCGGCGCCCGGCCCCCGCCGCCCCGCGGCCCCCGCGGCCTCTCCGGCGCCCGCTCAGCCCGGTCCGCGCCCCGGGCGTCCCCGGGCTCCGGCCTGGGCCCCGCCGCCGCCCGCCCGCCCGCCCGCCGGGGCCCGGCCTCCTCTGTTCCCGGAGCGGATCGGCTCCCGCGCCCCGCCGGACCCGGAACTCCCCGCCGCCCGCCCTGCCGCCCCCGATCCGGCCCCGCCGCGCTCCCGGGCCGGGCCTCACCTGCCGGGGCCGCGGAGCGGAGGACGAGGAGGACGAGGAGGAGCGGCAGCGGCAGCCGGAGCCACAGCCGCGGCCGCATGGCGCTCCGGGCGCCCGGGCTCCCCGCCGCGGGGTCCGGCGCTCCGGTCGCGGCGGCCCGGAGCGCCGCCCCGGCCTCCGCCCCCGCCCCGCCCCATCCCTGTCGCTCCAGACAAAACCGCCAACGAACACGATGCAACCCCCCCCGCCCCCCCCCGCCTGCCCTCCGCCCCGCCCTGCCCTCCGGCCTCCGCCCTAGCCCTCCCCCTCCCCCCGCCGCCCCCCGCCCCCCGCCCCGCCCCCCGCCCGTTCTCTCTCCCCGCCCCCGCCCTCCCCCCGCCCCCGACCCCCCGCCCCGTTCCTCCGCCCCGCCCCCCCCCCGACCCCCCTCCGCCCCCCGCCCCGCCCCGCCCCGCCCCGCCCTGCCCGCCCCCCTCCGCCCTCCGCCCCCCGCCCCCGCCGCCCCCGCCCCGCCCTTCCTCCCCCCCCCCCCCCCGCCCCCGCCCCGCCCACCCCCCCCGCCCCCGCCCCCCCCCCCCCCCTCCACCCCCCCGCCCTCCGCCCCGCCAGCTCTCCCTCCCCGCCACGCCCGCCCCCTACCCCCCGCGCCCTCCGCCCCCCCCCCGCCGCCCCGCCCCTCCCTCCCCCCCGCCGCTCCTCCCTCCCCCCCCCCCTCCCCTCCTCCCCCCCGCCCCTCGCCCCTCCGCCCCGCCCCCCCCTCCTCTGCCCCGCCGGCCTCCTCCTCCGCCCCCCCCTCCGCCCCGCCCGTCCCCCCCTCCCCCCGCCCCGCCAGCTCTCCCCCCCCCCCGCCCCCCTCCCCTCCGCCCCCCCTCCGCCGCCCCCCGTTCTCCCTCCCCCGCCCCCCCCCTCCGCCCCCCCCCCTCCCACCCCCCGCCCCGCCCCGGCCTCCGCCCCCGCCCCGCCCCCCCCACGTTCGCCCTCCCCGCCCTCCGCCTCCCGCCCGTCCTCCTCCTCCGCCCCCCCGCCCCTCCCTCCGCCCTCCCCCCTCCGCCCCGCCCTCCGCCCCGGGGCTTCCCGCAGCGCCGCTCCCCGGGCTTCCCCGCCTCCCTCCCTCCGGCGCCCCGGCCACCCTGGGGGGGACCCCAAACCCTGCGTCTCTTTCCTTTTTCTTTTTAAAATACACTTTATTGAGTATCGCGAGAGGCGGGGCTCGGGTTCGGGGTCGCCCGGGCGGCTGGGTGGAGAGGCACCTGAGCCAGCGTGGCTGCGGGAGGTTCCCGGACACCGCCCTCCTGAGGCTGGAAAGAACCCTTTTCCCCGGATCGTGTTCCCTGCCTCCGATGCAAGCCTTTTTCCGGGCTGCCCTTGTCCACTTTCAGCCTCAGGGACCCCTCAGGACAGCCTCCTGTCTCCAAGATCCTTTTTCTTACGAAACTCTGAGACCGTGACACTGAAGGGTAAATAGGACAAGTGAAGCATTGCTTTAATTTAAAAAAAATCCAAGGCTCGAGCCCTGGCCGGGTTCGCTCAGTGGTTAGAGCACCCGGACGGAAGGGTCCCAGGTTCCATTCAGGTCAAGGGCACGTGCCTGGGTAGGGGGCGTGTAGGAAGCAGCCAATCACTGATTCTCATCATTGTTGTTTCTATCTCTCTCTCCCTCTCCTTCCTCTCTGAAATCATTAAAAAAAATAATAATAAATAAATAAATAAATAAATAAAATATATTTTATTGATTTTTTACAGGGAGGAAGGGAGAGAGAGCTAGAGGGAGAAACATCGATCAATTGCCTCCTGCTCACCCCCCACTGGGATGTGCCCGCAACCAAGGTGCGTGCCCTAGACCGAAACCGAACCTGGGACCTTTCAGTCTGCAGACCGACGCTCTATCCACTGAGCCACACCGGTTTCGGCTGCTCCTTTTTCTTCTTAAATTCGAGAGGCCCATTCCCAAGCCCAAATCCCTGCCAGAGCCGGCCTTCCTCCCCCACCCCCACCCCCAGCCTCACCCCCGACTCCACTACCCCCACCCCATCCCTAACCTCCACCCCCACCCTCACCCCCACTCCCACCCCCCACTTCCCCATCCCGAGCCCTAACCTCCACCCTCCCACCCCCATCCTCACCCACTCCCCTACCCACCCCACCCCCACTCCACTACCCCCACCCCATCCCCATCCCTAACCTCCACCCCCACCCTCACCTCCACCCCCACCCACTCTCCTACCCCATCCTCACCCCCAGCCTCAACCCCACTCTGCTACCCCCACCCCCCACTTCCACATCCCGAACCCTAACCTCCACCCTCCCACCCCATCCTCACCCCCACTTCACCATCCCCCTCCCCCACTCCATCTCCTCCCCCGTTCCCTCCCCGCTCTGCCCCCACCCCCTTCTGTCTAATCAGCATGTCTGCTTTCCTCATTGACCTCAGAGAGAGAGGGAGAGGGAGGCCGGGCCACTGCCCGCTTCCTGCACCAGGTGCCCCCTCTGCCTGGCACCCCGGGGAGCACCTGCCGTCCCAGCCCAGGCTCAGGGACAGTGTGCAGCGCTGGCCAGCGGGCAGCTGCCTGGGTAAGGCGAGCCTGACTTGGGGGCCTTGATTTTTCCTGCTTCCTTTTTGGGGAACCCCTGCAATTGGCCCCTTTTTAAAAACATGTGACGAAATAGCTAGGCTTTATTTAATGATGTGAGTTTTGAGACACAGAGACATGTTTCTATGTTAAGTGAGAAAAGCAGGAATGTAAGTCAGAATCCTTGCAAAAACGATGCGTGGAGCGCGACTGGAGCCTGGCCAGTGTGGCTCAGTGGGTGAGCGTCGACCTAGGAGCCAGGAGGGCAGGGCACAGGCCGGGCTGTGGGCTCCATCCCAGTGCAGGGCGTGCGGGAGGCAGCGGGTCCATCAATCGCTCATCGTGGATGTTTCCATCTCCTTTCCTCTCTGAAATAAAAACAGTGAAAATAAAAAGCAGAGAATGACGGCGGAACAGAATACCCGTGCCGCGGGCAGCAGGGGGTGGACGGTAGCAGCTGGCGGCCTTTCCGTCAGCTGGCGGCCTGTCTCCGTCCTCGCCACTTCTCCTTTCACCGCCGGCGTGGGGGTGGGGTGGCTGGGCCACGTTTGGAGATCTGTGGGAGCCCCTTTCACGTCCCACGTGGTCAGGGCTCCGGTTCGGGGTTCGGGCTCTGGAGAAGGCCGCCCACAAAGGAGAAGAGACTAGAAAAGCATTAATTTGGGAAATGGGGGCCAGGCGGGAGCCCACCTCCAGGGGGAGGATTACTCCTCGCTCTGGCTTTGCCGTCCCTTTTATTAAGATTAGAATGATAGGATCCACCTGTATCCCTGGGCAGGAGACTCCAATCACAGCCAATCAGTGAGTGTAGGACTGACCGGTGGGGGCTGCTTCCACTGCCCACAACTAGTCCTTAGCTCTGACCCTTGAGAGCAGTGAAGGCTGGCCAGCCTCCGGTTCCCTGCCCACAGCTCTGTCAGTAAAACAAGATCGGCTTCCGGCAGACATCATATATCAACAACAAGTTGTGACGTTAAACACTTCTGGTATCAATATTAAACATTTTGATCAGTTATTCTAGACTGAGGAAAGACTGAGTGAACTTTCCTCAGTGCGATTACAAAAGGTTGTCATATGTAGAGGCAAAAATTACAATAAAAATGTCGGTGAGCCGGGCCGGCGCAGCTCCGTGGTTGAGCAGTGGCCTAGGAACCAGGAGGTCAGGGTTCGATTCCCGGTCGGGGCACAGGCCCGGGCTGTGGCTCCATCCCCAGTGGGGGGGTGCAGGAGGCAGCCGGTCCATGATTCTCTCTCCCTTCCTCTGAAATCAGTAAAAATATGTTTTTTTTAAATGTAGGTAAAAGATACCTTAATCAATAAAGAAATAAAAATAAACTGTGGGGAAAGGGTGTTGAGAGGAAGTCCTGCATGATGTAATGAGCTGACAGGAATTTGTTACCATCACCATTCTTTAACCCGCACCGGGCGGGCGCGGCGGCCGCTCTCCGGCTCCTGGGCCCCCTGCCCGGGTCCGAGCCCGGCTGCTCGGTCCCATGAGAGGCGGCCTCCAGGGCCACGCACAGTCGTCCCCCTTGGAGGCTGGGGGATGGGGAGAGACAGGGCCCCGCTCGGCTGCAGGGTCCAGCGTGTCCTGCGTCCTCCACTTCTGTCCACCTCCTCCCGCCCTGCCGGCCGGCCTCCAGGCTCCAGCCCAGACAGGGTGACGTGGGCTGTGGCCATGCCCACGACTGCCTAAGGTCAGATCCTGCCTCTCTCTCTCTCTCACACACACACACACACACGCACGCACGCACACGCGCACACGCACACACACGCACGCACACGTGCACACACGCACACACACGCGCACACACGCACACACACGCACGCACGCACATGCGCACACACACGCACGCACACGATGTGCCAGTGCTCTGCGTCTGTGGTCACAGCTGATGACGGTGCCCCCGCGTCACGGCCAGGCGGTGGGGGCTGGGCTCCTGGGCGGACCCCGCGCTCCAAAGCCACGTGCACCCCGGACCCGCTCCTCACCCTGCCTGGCGCCCTCCCCGCGGGTCCCCAACACGAAGACGAAGACGTGTGTGGAAGGTCACGTGCACCATGTCTCTTCCCACACTGCCCCGCCCCTAACCCCACCCCGTACTTCCTCCCCCCCCCCCCCCCACCCAACCCACAACCTGATTTCTAACCTCTCGCCCGAGCTGCCACATCCTGCTCTGTCACTTTCCCCGGCACCACCTTCTCTGTTTGACCCAGCCTCGATCAGCGTCCATCTCCACCGAGGTGACGCCCCCAAGGGCAGGGGGGCGAGTGTCCCCCGGATTCCCACAGACAGCAAGAGCTCGGGCCCGAAGCAGCCGGAGCCTGGCTCTGGAGCCAGGGCCCTCCCGTGCCTGCTCTCAGGCAGTGCCCGCTGCAGGCCGGACAGCCTCGCCAGGCCCCGGAGGCTGGTCCTGTCCTCTCCTCTGCCCCCCCTGCCCTCCTTCATCGTCCCCAATCTCTGCTCCCCCGGAGGCCACCATTCCCATGGGCCGTGTGGCTCAGGGGTTGAGCATTGACCTATGAACCAGGAGGTCACGGTTCAATTCCCAGTCAGGGCCCAGGCCTGGGTTGCGGGCTGGAT